TAGGAATGAGAATTTTCAAAATGGAAATGGAAGATATTAAATTGAACAGATTTGTTCAAAAAATTCGAATAGATCAACATAAATAAATATTTAACTAATTTATGAGTTATAGAAATAACAATTTCAATGAAGAATTAAAAAGAAAAGAATTTAAAAGAAGTATATTACTGAATGATAGCGATACTGACAGAAACTTCAAAAACTTTTTAAAAAAATTATAAGACTGATACAAATGAAAGTAAGTTTATAATAATTAACGAAATAATCATAGTTGAACCATGTATTTCCATAACTACCATATATTACCATATTACCATATATTAATTACTATATATTTCATGTTTATATTACTTCAGACAGAAAAAAAGATATACATCTTGTTGTTGAGTTATCAAATATGTTAACGATTAATAATTATCCAAAATTTATTTGAAACTGAATAACACCAGCACTGGATAACACGAATTAACGCACAATAATAGCGAAAGGATTTTCCAAAGCAGACGTTGGAATCCAAGAGAATGTGACTTCCTCCTTCCTGATCCAGGATTATTCTCGAACACTATGGGACGATTAGGCGTGTCACTAACCCGGTACACATTGGCCTGGACGAGGCCAGGGACGGTTATCGACAGCGAATGCCTGTTGCACGTATCGAGCATCGACATTCACTCGATTATTTACGCTGCTGTGCACCAGTAGCGGATGTCATAAAAGACGGACTAGACTTCTTTCGAACTGGTATTCAAACGGACAAGGAATGAAAAAAGCGTCAATGATGGATCATTTTCACCCTGGAATATCGATTCGTCAATAGAAAATCAGGTGTATGGTGAAAACGATGTATTTAGGATGTTAAGCAACCATACTTGAGAAATTTCGTTATACAAAAGGTCGAAAGCAACGCATATTTGAGCCGTTCACTGCACAAATCGATTAACTTCTCTTTTTGAAAAATCTTGAATTTAAGTGTCAAAGTACTTGGTATAGTCGTATGCATTCTACGATATTTATTTTGATTTAAATTGTAAAGGGAATTTTAAAAAACAATGTACATTATTTCATTGCATTTCTCCACTTTTTGTTTTGTGGAGTTAATCAATTTGTGCAGTGGACGGCTCATTTGATGCTTGATGGAATTTCATAAGTGAATAAAAAATTGGAGGAGAATTTTGGAATATTAAACAAATTTTTCGAATACCTCTATTTTATTTTATTTTATCCTTTATATTTACTAGTATTTTTTCGTTCACATTAATCGACGTTAATGTCTTTTTATTAATATTGCAGTTAATATTCTTTATTATTAATTCTCATTCATATTGTAATTAATATTGTTTATTATTAATTCACATTAATATTCTAATCAATGTATCCTACTACTATTAGTAGTAAGATATACTATCTTAGTATCAGTAACTATTGTTTTTATTACGTTAGCTTCATACTATTCGTGTTAAATTTATTTATAAATATTTCGAATTATTTAGAAAATGTTTATTCGGATAAATAATTAATTATAATGGAGTATTGGAAAGCTAGGTAACCTTCTTGCTGATGGCTTATTGATCCTTGCTCCATGGCTTGTCGCATCACTGTACCCTATTGATGGAATATAATAATACCGTGATTACTATGATTGATAGGTTCAGATAGAGCCACTGGGATAATCTACGTTAAGTGGAGAATGCATGCTACTGATAGAATAATCTCGTCAAAGCTGGATTTTAACCTAATCTCGTGGGGTATCTTAACCAGTGGATATAGTAGAGACACTTTTACAGTAAAATTACTTTGCAACAACATTTTTGGCATGGTTGCATTTCTTTCAAAACATTCTTCTAAAATTTACTTTTTTAATCATTACTTCAAATTATTAGAATTAATTGTTACTTAAATTAATTCTATTAGGCGAGTACTTAATTATGTGACGTTATATTAGCTTTTGTTTATAAAATTAATGTTTATGAAATAAAGTATGATGCATAAAGAAATTTGAAAACAATATCATAAGAATTTAAGATATCTTGTTTAAGATTCCCATGAAAACTTGCGCCATAGAATTGGTGTTTCATTGTTTCTCTATTATTTTTATTACCAACATACTTTTCATTTTTATAATAATATAATAGTAGTTATTATGTAATTATTTTTTCAAAATTTATAAACATATAATTACTCTTTATTTGAAGGAACCTTTAAACATCGTATATTTAAAAAAGAAATCAGTCATGATAAAAATTATTGGAAGATAATAGCACAAAAGGAGAAATTAAAAAATAGAAATAAGGAAACAATGGAAAAGTAGTAAAAATTTTTAGGAATGAATAGAAATCGTTGAAGTAATTATGTTACTATCAACTCGGTTTTTATTATTACCTTAACCACGTCATTGACATTGACGTTAAACCATTAACATTGCATTAATCACGGTGTTCGAGTACATCATAATCCCAAGCTTACCCAAGCGGGTGTCGCTAGTTGCAAATTCCTTCGTCATGGTTCCTCGAATTCTTTCGTCTTCCGTCATTCGTGCGTGAAATGCCCAGGTTTACACAGAACTTCGGTATCAATTACCCAACAACGATATTTCTACGATCATTACAGCAAACTGTTGCCAGTTTACGACAATTCTATTTTTACACCACACAATCTGTTTGGGTTAATAACTTCTTCGATCATTTTTTGTTAACATGTGTCTTAAGGCCTCTATATTTCCTTCTTTCTTTGTTTCCTTAAGGTTACGTGTGTTAGTCAAAATGAATGGAAAGTGGTGGACGAACTACAGAGAAATATTTTTGACAGTAGTGATATATAACAAGATCGTTGTATTACTATAAAAGATTACAATTTCTTGTTAATTGCTATTTGAAAGTTTTTGGCAAATGTACTAATTGGGTAATGATTATACTAACTAATGTGTGATACTAATGTAACAGCAATACTAAATAATTGTGTTATTAATTAGTAAACAATTCTTTAATACTAATTGCTAAGTAATAATTAATCTCAATAATTTATATTAATATTGACTATATGATTATGTATAGCCTTACTTATTGCTGATATTAAGTTAAGTCATAGTAATAGGAAGTGAAGTTTCTTTGCTAAATCCTATTATGTATTTTATTATATTATTTTGTATTTATTGGAACAACGTATAGGTGGGAACTATTTGCTCCTTACAAAAATATACAAAAAGCATTTTCAAATTTAAATTTAATACAATTGAAATGTGAAAATGTTTTAACTCTATTGTTATTATACAAATAATTTAAAAAGTTATTAATATTATTTTGAGATATGAAAAAGTAAAAGATACGTAATGTTAGATCGATACGATTCGATCACTATGAAAATAAAATTGAGAAAAATAACAAATACGTAAGTGATATTATCGATCAAGGAAAATGTCCAAGAAATAATGATTTATTGTTTCGTGCAATACTATATTACACAAACCTACAGTATATTAGAATTGTAGAAAGAATATATATCTATTCGTATCAAAATTTAATTGCACACCCACCAACCATACCCCATGCCTTACGCCATTTTCATTGGAGACAGATCTCGAATAATCGCTGGAAAATGATTTCATCGTAATGAACTTGTCCCAATTAAGCCATGGACGATTGTTGGAAACGATTGTTCGGCTATTGGTTGCCATTGTTTTGCGTTTCGCAAAGTGTAATTGCTTGAGGACTTATTAAGAACTCGGGTGTAATGACACGTGATGGAATCTTACAGAATTTGCATCAAGGATCACGTTCGAGAATCTCAGACTGCCATTGCCATTGACCATAAGAGCTGAGCTGAATTACAAAACGCTAGAGTTTGATTTCATGAAAGTTGACCGAAGTGGGCTGGATAATCATATGTTGCATAATAGAGTGATTAGTGGTACTTATAATTTGAGTACATCATAGGCAGATAATCTCTCCCATATATACAATTTTTCTACAGAAAGACATCAAAGTCTACAAGACTTAGAAAACTTTTGAAATTTTCATTTCTAATTTACAAAACTTTCTGAATAAATAAAATTATTGAATAAGATTATATGTGCTGAAGTAAATGTATAAATATTGAATGTATTTATTGTCAATTTTTTACACAATATTCTAATATCATTATATTATATTATTATATTATATATATTATATTATATTATTATATTATATATATTATATTATATTATATTATTATCATTTAATTTAAATGTCCAATTCATTAAGTCACTTATTTTACTGAAATTTGATTCCCTTCAAAAAATATTAAATATAATTTCCTTAAAGAAAAAAAGAAAAGGGGTAAAGTAAGAAAAATGGAATAAGACACCCCTAAATTCAATTATACATTTCCATCATTCAATCACTAGCATTTGCCACATTAACCCCATCACAAGGAAACCATTAACTCAAGGAACCCGAAAAACTCAGAAGAATTTGTTGAAATGAAAAGTGAAGATTCCAATGTGGGATAAATAACGGAAAAAGCACAATAAATAATTATCATCCATTAAAATTTAGTTATCAAGGTAGGAAACCCACTGCAAATCCCAAATAAGTTACTTATGACACTCATGTATACCAATTCACCCCCATGGAGACCAAACCTAACCAACCTAAAATTCACAACTGACCTACCCTTGCCTCTTCTTCGTCCACAGCAATCTTTCTCGCCAGAGATTGGTGCAATCGTCCTTATTTCACCTATTTCACCCATTGCTTTTGGTTTCTTCTTGCGATCCCGATATCGTTTCCCCGGCGATCGACCAACCGACTCTCTTTTCCCGCATTGCCAAACAGAAATGCCTCTCCCCACCCCTTATTATGTGAAAATCAAGCGGAACGCGTGCGTGTGCGCGCGCGAATATTTCATGTACACCGGCGTGTCCGCTTGTTTAGCTGCTCTAAGTGGGCGCCCGTATTGTTCCACGACTATATAAGGTGTACCACGGCCCGTTCGATCGGCAGAAAAGCATCAGGTCGTGGATCATGGCTAACATGAGGCTCCTCGTGAGTAACGACCATAAGATTACACATTTGACATAGTTCGACGAGGTAACAGGGACTTTGTAATTGATCATGGAGCTTGGTATGTGGTTTGGAGAATGGTAATGGTATTGGGATTAGGGTTAGGTTGCAATTTAGTATAGATAGGGTGCTGATGAGTATTTTGTGGTTTGGTTGAGTTTTGTTCGTACAAGTTGTACGGTATGTAGTTAGACAAGGGTTGACAGAGTGCTTGGTGGTTGATGGGATCGGGTTCAGGTGCTTGGTTGTTTAAGTTAACATCGGTATAGTAGCATGTAGTAAGATAATTTGTAACATGATAAGTTTCATATGTTTCAATTAGATCTTGTTTCTTAATTCATTGTTTTGTGATTACTATATAGTCTCTAAAGCTTCAGTTTCTCGGGAAGCATGAAGTAGTAATTAAACTTGTAACTAATCTCAAAGTAGTCACTGATTACTGTAGTATAATTCTTCGTATATAATAACATTATTTTTCTATTGTTATCTGTTTCAATACATTTCTCATACACTTTCATTTGAAGTTCATTATCATTAGTATTCCTAGTTTTAGATTTTTTTTTGTTATTATACCAATAATTTTCAATATTTTCTTTGTATCTTCTTTCATATTTGCCTTCAATGCTCCTCTCTTCTAATAACTTCATTTTTAATTACTTCTCATTGCAATTATATTTTTAATACTTTAATTTACATACCTTCATTTAAATTCTTATTTTGATTATTACTATCTTCAAAATTGTTTTTATTCTTTCACCCTTAAAATTTCCTCAGTCTTCTCTAAAATTTATTTTCTATATTCTTTTATTTCAATTTATTAATTAAATTATTATTGTTGTTATAGGTATTTATATGCTTTTTATCTGATTTAAAATTGTATTAATGTTACAGAGTCACTACTAAGCTTAACTACTATCTGATAATTATAGAAACTCCTTCTTTAATTTCACATTTTCCTATCATCTCATATTTAAAATTACATTACACTTTCTAAAATGTTTTAAATCAACTATTTCTTAGTAACAACAATATTTCAATCTACTCCCTACACACCTTTATTCAAATTTATCGAATTCTTCTATATTCTAGTTAGTGTCTTGACTTACAACACCATGTTACTGATACAATTCAGATTCAACAAAGCCAGTTTGCATTTGGAATAAATTTTAATATTAATCGAAACTTCATCTACAATTCTTAGAACTGACATACCTAGAGTAAGTACTACAATGCTGACATACTTAACTGAATCAAAATATTTTCGATAAGATATCATAATGTTTTAATATCTTATTTATATCCCAAGTTCTTATTACTTCCAATATTATTACAAATATTACATTAAAAAATGAATATACACAAAATTTAACACACTGAATAAAATAATAAATTCTCTCTTACAACCACTGTCAACACGTTCCCCATGGCCACCACCAACTTTCAAATTTTCCTAATACTTACTTCAACATCTAACTCTTCATTTCCAAATAACTTGAACTTTAGCAATAAAATATTTCACTCAACCATCAATTGCACCTTGTGTTTCATTTTAGCTCCCTCTGTCGTGTCTCATCCTTTCGGTATCCATCGTGCCAGGTTATGCAGCCTATGGGGCAGCATACCGCGGTCCTCCAGCTCCTCTGGCCCACGACGGAAGGGTGATTGACACACCGGAAGTGATTCACGCGAAAGCAGCTCATTTAGCAGCTCACGCAGCCGAAGCTGCTAAAGCGAGCCCACTCGGCTACGGCGACTATTCCGATGGGAAATACGAAGACTATAGCAGCTCTTACGTCGTTCCCGCTCAGAACATATACCATGGACCTCCGGCACCCTTGGCTCACGACGGAAGGGTGATCGACACGCCGGAAGTGGCGCATGCGAAGGCAGCGCACCTAGCGGCACACGCGGACCAAATTTCGAAAATAGCTCAGATTTCTTACGCCGATCCCTATCCTCAACCACATTGGTGAACGAGATGCATACGACGCCATTGACGACGGAATCGTGAAATCTCGATCAGTATACCAGGAGGAAATTCAGTTTCTGATTTATGCAACATTTTCACGAGATTGTAAATTAATCGAGACTCTTGGTTTCTATTTCCGTCGTTCTCAAGTCGATGTACGTTCTAGAGATCTTGTTGATGTTCTTGTTCATACAATAGTCTGGTTTTGTAACATTACGAAGCATGGAGTTGTGTATAATATTATAGAAAGGTGGGAAAGGCTTTTTATAAGTTAGATGTAGATCATGGATTGTAACGATGGTGTTTTTATTATGTTCGACTGGTATTTGATTAAAGTGATTGCAAGTATTTAACAAACACTTGGTCTTCGTTTCTTTTCGTGTTTAATCCTTTCTCCTTTTATACCTCGATAGAATAAAATATAAATTTTTATTCCTTTTATATTTTTATATATAAAATATAAAATATATGTTTTTAATTTATTTTTATGGAATTAGAAATAGCACTCCTGTGTTTATGAGAATTTGATTAAAATTGAAATTTATTTGGAAAAATCGTTTTGCAGAATTTATACAATTTTTAAATAGTCATAGATATCGTTGAATGAATTTTTAAGTATACATTTGTTCTAAAAATTCGATTGAAATTTAAAATGATTAAGAATATAAATACTGCTTTTTAACGTAATAAAATATTTTTTAACTGAATTTGAGTTTGTTTATTCCAAGTCAGGAATTAAATGAACTGTTATCCTAATCAGTCACACGAAGTCAACGTGATTTATTCAGTATAAGTCATAGTTATTGGCATCAGCGAGGTTTCTTAGGTGACATTTTCTTCCTCCTTATGTCATTGTGAGAAACAAAGGGTTCAGATGGAGTTCAACAGACCTAATGTAACTTGTTTCTTCTTATATTACAGTCTAAAAGCAGGAGATAATATAGGAGTGACAGAAACCAGTTCTATTCACGAGTCAGACTTGACTAGTACCAGACATGTATATTAACTTTAAACAAAATTTGTGCTAAAATAAACCTTCAATAACTACGTCCAAAGATGTAATACGGTTCTCTGATAGGGCAAGTAACTCACAAGTGTCAAATTTATTTTGAAACTATGTGCTCAAATTATTCAACTCGACGGTTATTGACCCTTTTCATAGTATGTGGGAGTTAGGTAATACAGGTGTCTTAAATTATATTACTTTCGTATAATTATTTAAATTTGTAGCTAGAATTAGATACCTTCTGTTAGCAATTAGATTTTATTATATCACTATTACAGAATTTTGTTATATGGTTAGGTCAAGCTTTATTGTCAATTTACAAGAAAGTAATTATTTCACAGGTCTCTCACTGAAAATAAAGGCACTACCATGTTTGTATTCATTTGCTTAAAAACTTGTGTATATTGTGTATAGACAATGGAAAACATTTAGTGTGATCGTACATGAAACCCTCGAGTGCTAACACCTACTGATATGAGAATACTCAGGGCCGTCTGGGGTATGCTATCTTAGGGTGTAAAGAGGTTAGAAACCTCCTGCAAATTGAGAACAAATATACCTAAAATCTTATCTGAGACGTGAGATTTAGAAAAATCCTGGATTTGGTCTGTCGATCTCAACTGGTTTTTGGTGCATTGATCACAAAGCCAGACATTTACATCTTTCAACGCCTTGTTAATTCTGTAAATTTATTGTACCTAAGAAGAAATAAAAATTAAGTTAAAAACACAGGTGAGTAACCTGGCATTCAGTTTTGAACTCAACAAAGAGTACGAACCAAAGTAAGAGCATACCAATTTTAGAAGCAATTTTAGTAGAAATTTTAGAAGAAATTTTAATAGCAAAATTATAGTTGTAAAAGGGTCTTAAGTATGTATCAACTTATAGAACTTCATACAAATCACAAACCTCGTAAAAAGAGGGGAAAATGTTATAATAAGAAAAATAAGAAGTAAATTAAAAACAATCCCAAGTAACGAATTTTCAACCTGAAAAAGAAATAGAACAAATCCAAGCAAAAATGTATAAATTTTTAAATTGCAAAATGGAATATATACAAAGTGAATCATTTAACACGATAATTTCGATTGTTTTCATTTTTACTAAGTTACTTAACAAAAACCAGATATCGTTACTCCTTCGTATCTTGCCATTTACGAGAAAATAATTTTCCCTTATTTCTCCAATAATTAAATAATTCAGGTCAATCTAGGGCGTCACTTTACACGAACCATTCTGCGTATAAGTACAAATATAAAATGCTATAAACTAACCACGAAGACAAAAATAATAGCTGTTTTGGTTCATTAACGAATAGAAAATCAAACTGGAACCTAATCGAAACTAAACATAGTACCATTGTGCGTCCTTTTAGTCAAGAGTATATTTCAGTAAAATCGTCTAATAGTAAAATCATTCTTAGCTGCTTATGAAGAATAAATGGAAATAAAAATTGACCTGAACCCAGCATGCGTTCGAAGACTCACGGACGGCAGTGCACGTCCCGACCACGTTTGTCTCGCGTTATCAGAGCGTTGGCGACAAGCTCGCAGTTCCGTTCAGGTCAGCACGCGAACAATGCGCGAGGTGGTCTTTGAACCGGGACAACTGTCGCAACTGTTCGTTATTTTCAATGAAAGAAAGAGGGGAAAAAAGCTGGGGAAAGAACCGAATGCACCGTTTGCGACGCCGCGTGACAACACGCTGATCGTAGAGGTGGGTGAACACGGAATGGCGACGATCGAAGGAATTCGTTTCGTCCACTTGCTGTGGGCACCGATGAAATATCGCTTGCGGAGGGCATAGGGAGTGAAATGCTTGTGAAACACGTTGTCGCAGCGTGTTATTTACATATGTACGCAAAGGATGGAGGTTTCTGCAGCGTTTCGTGTCATTCTTCAGTGATTGCATCACGAACTGTTGCAGATTATTTGGGGATACTGGTATTGGTGACGAAAAGGTAGTCCTTTGGATTGTGAAAAGGAATTGGTGAATATTGGTATATTACTGATGATAAATGGTAATTTTTAGAGGATTGTTGGGGAAAGGGTAATTTTTAGGGATATTGGAGAAATTAATGGTAATTTTTAGGGATATTGATGAAATAAATGGTAATTTTTAGGGATATTAGTGAAATAAATGGTAATTTTCAGGGACATTGATGAAATAAATGGTAATTTTTGGGGATATTAGTGAAACAAATGGTAATTTTTAATGATATTGATAAAATAAATGGTAATTTGTTAGTATACCAGTGTTGATGACGAAAAAGTTGTTTTTAACATCATGGAGATGATTTGGAGAATACTGATATACCAGTAACAATAAATGATAATTTTTGAGGATGTCGATGAAACAAATGATTTTTATTTCGAATATCGGCATTGATGACGATTCTAAAATCGTTTTTAGAATCGTGAAAGAAAATTGAAGAATATTGGTGTATTAGTGATGTTAAAATTATTATTTTTGAGAATATCGGATAAATAAATGGTTATTGTTTTGAAATATCTGTCTGAAATGACAAAAGTCATGTTTAGTATATTAGTAATGGATTAAAGAATATCGAATTCAGTGATGATAAATAGTAATTTTTACTATTGTCATGGAACAAAGTTTTCTGTGATAGATATCTGAATATATCAGACATAGTAATTAAATTGATTTTTGCGGTATTTGTAATCATAAAAATATAAAAGTGTCTTATTTATCCTTCTTTATACGTTTTCATGTTTGAGGCAAAAGTACTTCGATTATTTCCTTGAATTTTCTAGTGATTTATTGCTAGTCTAGCCATTTCTAGTAGATTTTCTGGTAATTTATATTAAGTTAATTATAATCTGATAAGCTTAAAATCTTTTCCAATATTTTTCGTCTCCATTTGAAGCGAATAATATAATTTTCACGTTTTTATGAATTAAGGACAACTTAATTAAAATTTATTCCTTTTTTTTACAATTTTTAACTGCATAACTAATAAAACAAATTTCTGAGTAATGAACAATTATTTAACGAGTTAAAAAGAAACTTTTTAACCTTTTCACACTTACAAATCTATATATTTAGGTTTCAGAGAAAATATGCAATTTACATTCATTCATTCAACAGTATCTATACCTTCAAATACTTATCTTTAATTCGCACTCTATATATTCATAATTAAAATAATTTTTCATATACAAACCAACATAAAGCCTCTTCTATTTCCAGGACACAGGACGTATAGATACACTTCTAGCAACAAATAACTAAATATTAAAACCATATTACACACACACCATCTATCAATTTTATTTATTTGAACAACTTCGAAAAGCCCACAAACGTAACAATTTAAACTAATGATAGAATAAAAACAATGTTCATTGTCCCACTAAACAACCACGTGTGCCAACAATGGTGAGGAACCCTACCTATCATTATCATCCATAGAAAACCCAAGCCAAAGTATAAAGACACCATCATTTGAATACATAGCTTCCATAACTAAAGGGTTAGGTGATAACTAAAAATTTCTCGTGACTTTCCCATTCCTAACCCCCAAATTCCCAAAATTCTATTCCACGAATTCGAGTTTCGTTAAAGACGAATCAATCGTCCACGATCTTCAGAGCGCATCTTCTATGCGGGCGTCGAGGTCTCCGAGTCACTTGGCCCAGCCGATCCCAGCACTCACGCGGCCGTCGAAGTCTCCGGGCATTTCTGAATATCGAGGACGTCGTGACTGCATCCGCGATGACGTGCGTGTCCACGTCCAGTGCATAGCGCCTAGGCAAGTTTTATTCCTGACGAGGTTACGGGACACGCGGTGTCATTGTTAATGGCTGGTAAATGTTACGGGGCAGGGCAAGGCAGCCTTTAAAGCAGAGCATTTTCCTGGGTGTGGTTGTGTACCCCGTTGTCGCGCACGGGGTGGGGCACGCGACGACGCCCTGTACCCCTATAAATTGGACGATCCACGATAGTGGAAGTCATAATGCGGATCCCAAGCTCTGTCGATAGTCGCTGGATCGACCTGCGCTGAGCTTCGACGACATGATTCGGTATCTTGTGAGTATGCCGTTATTTTTTTATTTTTATTCCTTCATTTTCTCTTCCTATTGAGACTTTTCCTGTGCCCTGTGTTTTTTTTTACCTGAGACTTGGGTTATAGTGATTTTGGTAATGTGAGATATCCTTTTTGCTTCAGATTTGGGTTATAGTGATTTTGGGAATGTGAGATATTCTTTTTGCTTGAGATTTGGATTATAGTGATTTTGGAAATGTGAGATATTCTTTTTGCTTGAGATTTGGATTATAGTGATTTTGGAAATGATTCCTTTTAGCGTTTGCTTTCGGGCTGTAGAATGAAATTTTGAGAAAAGTGATTATTCTCTGTTGCTTCCTAGGTTTCAGTTTCGATTTTAATTCCTTCCTTTCGTCCCTTTTATTATCCCCATAAGCAATTTTAATTCATATATTTTTTTCGATAGTACAAATTAATAATTTTTGTTGTAATATCTTTTCCTATACCAATTTTAAAATACGAAATTCATTTAATTTTAGTAATGTCATATTTAAAATAGTTTTCTCTCTTCGTTAAATTTCTACAAGATGACAATTGGGTAATTGTATTAAATAGTGATTCGCAAAATTTCGTATGAAATTACACAGAAGTGTAACGAAGGAATTAGGGTAAAAAATATGAATGCCAAGATTAATTATTTAATTTTCTTTTCTTTCAGATTCTCGTATCTGTAATTCTCAACGTGGCCTACTCTGCGCCACAGTGGTATGGGGGTGGGCATCCTGGCGCCTATGGTGGGCACGCAGCACCAGCTCCATTGGGACCAGATGGAAGAGTCGTGGACACGCCGGAAGTGGCCCAATTGAAAGCAGCTCATTTGGCTGCGTTGGCTGACGCGAATGCGAGGGCACCCAAGGGACCAGGTCCTGCTGGTCCTTACCCCGGCCCTGCTGGTTCCTACGCACCTGGAAACTATGCACCGCATTACAGGTTTTGCATATTGTCTCATATCCCAGGAATTTCTATAACTAACTTCTAGAAACAAATCGCGGAAATTATTATATCTTTTCTTTTTCGAAGATTGGAACCGGAATTTTAATAAAATTAGTAATCAAAGATAGCTGTAATCATATTATCTTCTTTTATCAAAGTAAGAATAGAAATCTTTCAAATTTTGAGGAAGTTACTTTCAAATTTCATTTAACCAGACATCTTTTTATCTTCACACGTACAAGGAAATATCCAAAATATTTTATCTCACTAATCTTCATTATAATTGTTATTTCATTTCCTCGAATATTAACTTAAAAAATTACTAACAGTACAGTCTTAAACGTACAATATAATATTAATACTAAACTTTACACATACTTATTCTTTCCATAAGGGGTCAAATGACCCCTCGTGATACATAAGGTATGCAAAGAATTTTTCTTGGTGAAAAATAAGTTAAAAGAAAAACGGAAACCGAGAAATTAAACAATGAGGTGATATAAAAATTTACAGAAAGTCAGATGAGCAAAAGAAATAACAATAAATGTGCAATTATAAAGTAAATTTTGAAAAGGGTCATTTAACTCCACTTGGTTCGTTTAGTGTTAATCAATTCACTATAACAAAATTTATCTACAATTTGGTTTTGGTTCCTTTGAAATAATACTAAAGTTATGGAATTAGTCAAAATAACTGGTTCCAAACCTTTTACAATTCTCAAAATTAAAATCTCAACTCTTATTAAAACAATAACATAACTATACTTATTTATACTTATATATATATAGCCTCGATGTTGAATTAAGATAAATTTTAAATGGAGAAATTTAATAATTAAGTCTGTTCGACTTTTAAAATCTTACATGATTTGAGTTCAGATCGACGTAAGTCAGATCGGTTTTTATCTATAATAATTTTATTTAAATTAATTGTACGAAAGGACTTTAATTTAAAAATTATTTTAAAATTAAATAATTAATAATATATTATATTAAAAATTTTAATTATTTTAGCATGTAAGTGTATTAAATTTAGGATTTAATTTAAATTATAAATTATTATAATAAATAATAATTTATAAATTTATAAGTATTTATTATTATTATTATTGAGTAATAAATATTTTTATTATAATAATTTTATTGTTAATTAGAGTTGCTTTTTTAACATTATTGGAACGAAAATTTATATCAATAATTCAAATACGAAAAGGTCCTAATAAAATTGGTTATAAAGGATTATTACAACCTTTTAGTGATGCATTTAAATTAATTTCAAAAGAATGATTATTTTTTAATTATAATTTAATATTTTTATTAAGGACCAATAATTATATTTATTTTATCTTTTATATTATGATTAATTTATCCTTGATTTAATTTAATTAATTTTTATGAATATAAATATTCTATAATTTATATTTTTTTTAATTTAAGATTAATAATTTTTCCTATTTTTATATTATATATTATATATATATAAAAATTAAAATTATAATCTCGATTTTAATATTCATTTAATTTCATGTAACAGTTGTCAGTACTACTGTTATATAAATGAAAAAGAATTTAGGAGATGTGGAAAATATTCATATCATTGGTAAATTATTGTCTTTTAGTGGCCCACCAGCACCATTGGGACCAGATGGCCGCGTGGTGGACACAGCTGAAGTGCAGCAGGCCAAGGCAGTGCACTTCTCGTTGTTCAACGCCGAGGCTCAGAGAGCCCCAGCTCCTCCGGGTGCTCCAGCAGGCCCAAGTCCATCATGGAACCCTTCAGGAGGCTACAACCCCTCTTGGAATCCTGGAAACAATTGGAATCACTATTAAACTGGCGTTGACAGTCGCAGAAGATCGACTAAGCCGACAGGAAATATTCATTCGCTCACTGTGATCGATGGCTCGAGAGGATTTAGGGAAATCCCCTCGTATCATCGACTTCCAACTACCTCCGGATGAATTTTTCTCGATAGAATCAACGAAGTATCTTTCTCAGAATCTTTCTACAACACACAAGCTTCCTTCCTCCTAGTTTCCTCTCTTCTGTGATCCTCCGTCTCATCTACCTCTTTGTCGTCCGTTTTTCGTTCAGTTCTCTGGTTCCTACCTTCCCTTTTCTCTTTTTCTCTTGTTCTCGGATCTTCCTAGATCCTTTTCCTGCCTGCCTCTGCATTGCGAGTACGCCATTGGTATTTATTACAACGACTGTTTCGAAAATGGAACGCTACTAGGTAAAATAATACTTTTCTTTTGATTTAAAATCGAATTAAAGGAATTTTTTGAAATTGTAGGAAACTATGTAGTCTTCGATATTGTTGCATTACGGAATTACGAAAAGAATTTCGTGGTGTTTCAACTGTTTTGTGATATTTCTCTTTTTCCAGTTGGAAATGAATTGAAGGAAGTTTAGACTCGAAGCAAATTCGATAATCTTTAATATCGTATTATAAAATTAAAACAAATTTCGTAGTATCGCAGTGAGAATGAATTTTTGTATATTCTAATAGGATATCAATTTTTGAAATGGTTTATTCGCAGTGGTACAGATTCGAAAGAGTTTTATATGTGTTTCGAAGGGAATTATTTTCGAGAATTGAAACTTGCAAAATGGCGTATCGCGATAAGCATAGAAAATAGAAGTGCGTGTTTGTCGCTGAATGTCAATGAAATAACGGTGTCTTGTACCGTTACAGATATTATCCCGTAAAAATGTCCTCTTGTCACATTCTTCTTCAAGGTGATCTCTTCATCGCTTTCGCGCTCGTTAGTCAAGGAAAGTCTGCGTTTGCGTGGGAATTAACCTTTGCACGTGAATTATTCATAAGCAATGTTCTATGTTATCATTTTCTCTCTTCTGTTAATTACAAATATATGTACATTTGTAAATTATCATGCGTGTACATAGTGGAGACGATTATGAAACGAATAAAATGAATAAAATGCAGTGAAACGTTTTGCTCGGACAAGATTGACAGATTTCTTTCAATTGGAGGATCTATATTGGGCATTCTGACACATTAATCAATTTTCGGAAATTTCCCAAGGAATTTTCGAATATTGTTTTCGATATCGTAATATCATAAATATCAATTTATCTAAATATTATAATATTATGGTAGTGCTCTGATTGTAAAGAGAAAGTAATTCAAATTTAAATATTTGTCGAATATTGTGGATGCATTTATTAAAAATTGTATTTTGGTATTAAGAAAACTTTTTAATAATTTTTTTAAAAGAAATCAATCTAATAGTAATGTAACATTCGTATTTAAATTGTAGTTTCTTCTATACTTCCATTTTAATATTGAATCTCCTTATTGTAGTTAATTTATTACGCAATAATTCCAATCTTTTACGAAAATTTATAAAATTAAAAAAAGAAAAGAAGGAGAAGAGAACGAAAATACAAATTATGAAGAAAAAGTGGAAAACAAATTTTTTATTTCATCAATAGTTCCATAATATTACTGATTTTCTGTAGGAATAAAAAAGAAAAGGAAGGAAAATATAAACTTAATTTCGTAATACTAATCATTCTGAAATCTAAAATGAAACTGAAGACTTAGAAGATGGTTCAGAAGGAACACATTAATTTGACAAAGTTCGGAATGTAATCCATTATCAAAAGGGAAAGAAAAGAAATGTAAATGTTATTTATTATCACAGACCTTTCTAAAAACTGAAATAAAACCATACATAGACGACGACGAAAAGACACATTAATTTAAAAAAAAATTTTTTAGAACGTAATTCTTTGCATTTGAAAAAGGAAAAGGAAATAAAATTATGGAATGCAATAATAATATGTCAAATGCTCTATACTTCGTCAGTCAGGCTCGTAAAATCGTGGAACGACCACAGGGGGTGTTAATAGCCTATTAAAAGTTGCGCGCCGCTGTTCTAATCGAGCCGATAATCAGGTAACAGGCACGTGTGGTCGACTAACATGCCCGTGACACGAATCAGATCGATTCGTGCTCGCCTCGGAAAACACGGCAGTGAAAATGAGTTAGAGTTCGAGCGACTACGTGCAAATCTGATTGCACAGTGAAATCCAACACGTGTACATGGGCGTGAAAACGGCGCCGATTAGTTTATTCAGGACTCTAAAGGTAAACTCGTGGGCGCAGGAAGCAGGATACCTAATGATTTATTCGGTTTTTGAGTGAAAATTTATGATTTCGAAGCTTTAAATTTCTAAAATTGTCTCCTATCTCTTATTCTTACGTACAAATTCTTTCATAAAATTTATTCTTAAGTTCCTTTTCAGTTATTATCCAGGTAATATGACAATTTACGTGTGTGTATAAGTACAATACTTATAATTTAGTATAATATTGTAATGAAATAAAATATTTTATTTGTCGTCTTTTATATTTCAGCTGCAGAAATGTTGATATTCTTTGTAGAAAATTTATTTGGGAATTAATTATTTCTGCAAATTATTTTTTAGAATTATTTTCTGGTTTACTGTACACTTCTTGTTATATTGACACTTTTTTCGTTAATGTTAGATTAATTGTTCGAGATGCATATATGTATATGATTATAAGAGACTATATTGAATGACAAAGTGGATGTGAAGAAGATTCGAGGAGAAGATTTCGTTCTTGACATTCTTATCCATCATTAACCTTGTCATGGAGGCGTAATAAGTAGCTATGAGAATATAAATTATGATTTTACCTGTGAATACATTATCATTGACCATTCATTGCTGAATGAGCTATTCTACAAAAAATAAAATTATTATGAAGAGACACAGATAAAATTAACAGAGAATTAGTCTTCTCAATTGTAAAATTAATAAACCTAATTTATATAGATAAATGTCTCAACATAATCCAACATTCTATCGCCTTTCCTTTGACACAAACCAACCTAACCTATGTTCAGAATAAGAATTTTGTAAAAATTCAAAATTCGAATGGAACCTAAATTAAAAGAAATTCCACAAAACCCAAAGTTCTTAGATTTCAATAAAATTATTCCAAATCTAATTCAAACACAGGGATGTCTTATAAGGTTTCAATACTCAATCATATCTATCCAAATGCAAATTTAGACAAAGAATTTTTGAATACCCTAAATACAAATTTATCATAAATTAAAAATATTCTTAGACTTTGACAAGTTCAATCTAAATATAGAAACATCCCCAGACATTTCAGCACCACCCAAAACTCAACTGTACTTAACCTAAACTTAAACAATAGACTCCATAAAATTTTCAAATTGATACTTAATCTAACCTAAAAACAATTCCACGAAACCCAAAATACTTACACCTAAGAAAACCTAACGTTGTGAAATAGCATCTCACATCTCCCCAAACCCAAATCAAACTCACAAATCCTCCTACCAATCCACGTAACTATTCCATTGAAACTCTCCATGTCCACAGGTGCACCTCGTCGACCCCATGGTTGTAAATCCCATTAAGTAACACCATCGTGCCAATACTTTTCTGGCCCGAAAACCCAACGCATTCCTCGTCAAGCTTGACCAGACGCGTCCTTGCTGGTATACCAGCGTCTAGGATACACGGTGGCCGAGTCACGGACAGAACCGGTTCCATGGTGTCTGCTGGATAAGTGCAAGGCGAACTGTACCGGTAGCAGACACCGCTCGTGGATCGTTTTCTAGATCTGGATCAGCGACGTTATCAGCACGATCGCGGGTAATTGGCTGCTTAAGCGCAGTGAATATTGAAATCGAGCGTTGTCCACACAGGGAAGTGAACGTTTGGGGCGTGGAAGGTCGAGATTTCCTGTTGGCACAATGAAGTAGGTGAGATTGGGCGATCGTTTGGAAGGGTCGTTTTCTTTTAATGGATCATGTCTGGACACCGTGGATCACGGGTCATTGGATATCGAGTTGAGGTTAGATGACAGTGGAGGGTTTGGTGAGGCTGGGAGTGTTGGAATGGTTAAGGGTGTTCTAAGTAACTATATTCTATTATAATCTGAGATACTTTTTAAATCAAGAAAGTGTGGCCTGTAAAAAAGTATGTTAAAGAAATTTATGAAAATGATTTGATATTATTAAAAAAAATAGTTTGGTAAAAGGAAGATAAATATATATGTATAGTAATAATTAAAGTTGTGTGATAAATATAGTTAGGTATCGTATAGTTATATTTTTATTTGAATAAACGTCTACGTGTTGGTTGTCAAGGTAAAAATATACTGCTAGGAAACCATTGTTTTCATTAGTTTGACTATTCTAGTGCTTTAGTGTCAAAGCTCTGTCATTAATTTATAGTTAAGTAGTGAGTCAAGTGGTGAGTTGTAATATAAATAATTTAAAGTAAAGATTTATTAATAGACCGAATCTATTATTATTTTTTATTATTTAGATTCATTGAATTATTATTTTATATACTGATATACACATCTTCGCATAATTAAAAAATTTCTAAATACTAGTTTTAGTTTGACTATTCTAGTGCTTTAGTGTCAAAGCTCTCTCATTAATTTATAATTAAGTAGTGAGTCAAGTGGTGAGTTGTAATATAAATAATTTAAAGTAAAGATTTATTAATAGACCGAATCTATTATTATTTTTTATTATTTAGATTCATTGAATTATTATTTTATATACTGATATACACATCTTCGCATAATTAAAAAATTTCTAAATACTAGTTTTGGAGCAAAACGAAATAAATTAAGAAAGAAAATGAAAATAGGAATAGAAATGAAAATAAATAAAAATGAATAAAAATCGAAACAGTACTATAGAAGCACTCATAGTTATCCAAGAAGAAATTATTTTTATATCTTAATTTTCTTGAAAATTAATATCAAATTCCAAATAAAAATTGTCTAGTAAATGATAAAAATTTACTGTTCAAGTTCCCATATTCGATGCTATATACTAGAGCAAAAATTAAAGGGCATCAGATGCAATTTGCACCTTATTCAATTTCTTCGTTATAATGTCGAAAGAAATTTGAACAATAGGCTCCGCCCGGATTCATAACGTTCAATATCCGCCAATTCCGGTTAATGTCAGGGAACTCTTATCGATTGGAATTCATATTACACAAGACTCACGCCAACCTGGCTGCGCTCTTCCTTTCGATTTCTCATTGGACGACGCCCATCTTACCTGCTCACTTATTTACCTACATTCGAGCATGAGTAATCCAGCATAATATGTTACACCGTGGGATGACAGAATGAGAGTACTCTGTACACACGTAACATCTGGAAGAGATTTGTATTTCTTGTTTCTCCTCTTACTTGCAAAACAGAAAAGTTATTCGATATACAGGGTGTTCTAATTTAATTTTACAATGTATTTGTAATTTTCAAATTATTTGTTGTTAGAGAAATTGTTTTGTATTTTGTTTTTGGTTACAAATTCCTTTGGATAGACTGCTTGAAAATAGCAATTTTGAATTGTGTCATAAATTAAATTAGAAACAAAATTTCGTGTTTCAAAAATTCGAAGTTTCGTATTCTCTTTAAGCTTGGAAATTTTCAAAATTTAAATAAGAAAATATATTATCGATTATTGAACAAAGTATTGAATGAAGTAAAATAAAATAAAAGGTAAATGAAATTTAGTATATTCGGTACCATGATCAATAAAAATGTATATATTTGAAGACTGGGAAAGGTAGAAAATGGAGGATAGAGGACACCAAAACCACATTCATATTTTATTTCACTGCGAAGACTATAAAAAGTACAGAATACACTACGGTGGCAAGAGTGACAGATTTTTTAATTAACATACGATTCATCGTTTCACAAAAGTAACATCTACGACTATTATAAATATATCATCTTAAGGTCTAGTTAAAATCATATAATTATTAACAATTGTATGGCAATAAAATTCAAATTGCAATAACAGCAACGTGAAATAACAATATGGTTATGTTATATAAAATAACCGAAACGATATTAACGATAAGTGTAAGTAACATTATTTACAAAACGTGTATCTTCGTTCGAGTTTCGTCAAACTGTTAAGCAAACGAGAATCGAGGTCTGAAATGATGTGTAAAAAATCAGGTACAACATAAACTATGTTCTCGTAATTGCTGCAAAAATTACATTGCATGATTTTCGTTGAACGAATGCGAACAGTTTGATAGAAAATCGAACGATTTGATCGAATCTCGATTCCACGTCATCGACTTAAATATACGTATATAATTTTACAATAAGTTCAACGAAATTTAGGTAAACGCATAATCGATAGCTTTAGTCTTTTATAATAATTTAAACAATTATTCTGTTTTTGTTTCTCAAGAAAATAAATTAAAGTGACTGTTCGTAAAAATTTGAAGAAAGGCAAAAATAATTCTTTACTAGAATTGTATTTATGCTAACCATGCAGATTATAAAATATAAAATACCATAACTTTCATTTCCATTGTTGAAAATAGAAATTCAGAGAGAAGATAATAGAAGTATTAAAAAAATGAAAGCTTCTTTTCATTTCTTAATTTGTTCCAGTTCATTATCCATAGTTATTTTAATCATTCAATGTTGACATATTTCAAAATATAAAATTTCTATATAATATTTATAATATTTGCAATATAATAAATATAAAATAATATTTGTAATATTTATGATATTAATATTTTCTGCACAATGTTTCCTTTGTAGATTTAATTTAAAAAGAAAAGTATCAAAATTATTTATTAGATGTATCGTACATACCCGTTTACCTGAATATCGTCTGATTAAGTAAAAAATTCCTCTTCTTTTCAATAGTAAAGATCATTCTGAGTGGAGAGAGCCACAGCTCGAGCATGCGCCTTCATGTGAGCCTCGCGCGCCCTCATCACTTCCGGTGTGTCTATCACGCGACCATCTGGGCCTAGTGGCGCTAGTGGGCCTCGATAACCCATCGATGGCGTGTGTTTGTAGGTGAGTCGAATAGGAGTAAGATAAACCCAATTTTTTCGTCCATCGAAAACGTCGAATTCGTAAAATTCGGATGCCTTTGAAGCTGCGTGTGCATGCGTTGCTAAGTGAGGGCTTTTTGCATCTGTCATCTTGAAAATTAGACAAATATAAAAATAAGAAAAAAAAAAAATGATTAAAAACGGAAGTTATTAACTAATAGTTCAGAAATTTCTTTTATCTAGATCTTAATAGATAAATTGTTTATTTCAGAAGGAATTAGAATTTTAGGGATGGAATTCTAAATATTCGTAGGTGTCCAATACTTAATTTAGATTTTAAGTCAATTTAAAAATACATTGTCAATACCTTCTTCTATTTAATTATAAAATTATTGGGATTCATCAATTTTTAAATTACTAAAAGACATGATTTCGATACATAATTTGGACAAAATATATTTCAATGTAATAAATAAAAATTATTAATTCGATAACTAAAATTGAAATTACCCAGATTTTATAGAGTACTTAACATCTCTATAACTATAAAAAAATGATTAATAGTTCAACAATAATAAAATAATTAATGGTACAAAAAATTATAAAAATTTAAAATATATAAAATAACAAATTTATAAATAATAAATAATTTCATTTACCGCAGGATTCTCCATAGAATTTGCATCGTGATCCAAAGGCGGGAACGACCTTTGTCTCTGTCGTTTTTGCACCATAGCCTCCATGGGGTCCATCATTTGTGGCATGTACGACATTTCGTTATTCTCGTACATCTCATAATCGTTCTGAGCCTTCCGTAATCTAGCCATGGTTTCAGCGTGGACTGCTAAATGAGTAGCCCTTGCATGAGCCACTTCCGGCGTGTCCAAGACCATCCCATTGCTGGATAATGGTGCCGGAGGGCCTCTGTACTGGTAGTATTCTCTGTCCACGTAAGTCTCGGCGATAGTTGGCGCCACCAATGCGGCCAAGACTATCTGAAAAAGTGCAATGAGGGATCACGTTGCATCTTATGAGTTTCCTTCTAGATTTGAAACGTGAGAAATTGAAGAAACTTAGGGAAAGCAGATTGACAATTTAATGTGAGTCATTGAAAATTAACGTTACGATAAATTTTAAGTCTGATTGTTAGTGCAAAATTTAACAAGTTGAGGTTAGGAATATTAATTACATTTTCAAAACTAGTTTACAAAGAATTAGATTTCAAATTTAGTAGTTTCGAGATTATTATAATAATTTAATATTGACGCAAATTATTAATATTGATTAATTATTTCTTTTTATTTATTTTTTATTTATTTTATGTTTTCCAACGACTGAGTTCTTAATTCTGGAAATAGTACTAGAAACAAGTTAATCTGAAGGAAATTAAAAAATTGAGGTATTAAATTAAAATATTCTGAGAAAATAAACAATACTAACCATACCTATTTGTTATTAAAAACAGAAGGAAGTAACGAAACAAATTTCCTTTTCAAATCTAAATAAATATAAAATAAACAAAATAAAATAAATATAAAAATAAGCAAGATAGAAGGTATTAGAAAAATATGAATCAAATTTAAAAATTTATCAATTGCAACGAAAAAACGTCGAAAAATTAGAAATAGCCTTAAATAGCCCTAAATGATCCTTTTTAAAAATCCAATATTATATAAAATTTCACACCAAATGTATTGTTTCCACATTTAACTTCCTATTAAATCGAAACTCATTAATAATAACGAAAGAATTTTTTCCCCCGATTTAATTACACTTACAAGCAAGCTCATGCTGCTGGGACAGCACCGGCCACGAAACGAACGTCTCGGTTGCGAGTGTGGCTTGTCCGATCGGTCCATCTAGCTTTTATAGCGTCGCGGCTTCGATCCGCGGGTAAACCACGTTACGATGATCAACACCTGACATGAAAAACGATATCTTAATTGTTTTCCCGCTAATGATGCAAACGTGAACCGTGCTCCTGTCGGATGCGTCTGTGTTGAAATTAAAACTCCGTAAAGTTGCGGTGAAATATTGTAGGCTCATTGTCAAGTGTCTTAAGAAGCTGAGGTTTCTTTCGGTAGCTACTGTATACAGTTTAACAATTTAAAAACTGGGAATATATTAGTTATTACATTGGAATTTTTAATTTTGAATAATTTAGGTATTATAATGATTTTTTGGTTGATTTAGATGTTTTATAGAATTTTAAGAATTGATTCACTTGGTAAGGGTAGTTAGGTTTATTATTGGATAAATGTTTAATTTGATTTTATTAAGGAGGATTATTTGTTTGATATTTAGCATTGAATAAATTAATTATAAATTAATAATGTGTTGGTTAGTATAAATATAATAATTTAATAATGTAAATGTTATGAAACAATATATTTATTAGTATGAATGAATGTGTAAGCAAATGTCAAAATAGATGAAGATGTATTATAATTAATTTTATAATAGAAGTTGATGATAGATGAATGCAAATGGCTTGCATGTATCATTGATAGAAACTTATAGTAATTGGAATAAGAGGTTTAAAAATTATTTCTCCAAATAAACAGTGAATTGTCCGGTAAACTAATTTTATTATAGAAGTTCAAAGTAATTCTGCAACAAGCAATTAAAATTTCTTTTGGAAGAGGAATTTAACATAATCGTACCAAAAAGCTCATAAATTCCTTCTTATGACAAAAGTTCAAAGAAACACTACTACTAGGAAGTTAAAAAATTTCTTTCACAACAAAATATCAATATAATTACTATAAGCAGTGAAAATATTTTTTTAAGAAACAGTTAAAAATATTTCTGTAAAAATCCTTAAAAATTCCTGTAAGCTTTTAAAGAGAGTTAAAAACAATTCAATTATAAAACTTATTTCCAAAATTAAAAATTTTTTATGTTTTTGCTTAGAAGCTTAAAAATTCTTTTATAGCTAAACCATATACAGTATTAAATCATGGTTACTATAAAATTGAAAATTTCTTTTAAAAAGGATCGAAATATTGTCATTGATCAATTCTTTTCTTTAATAAAAGCTCAAGATATGTCTATCAAAGTGTACAAACAACGAATAAAAAAAATGGCAGCCTTTAATTGTCAATGAAAAAAGCTGAACTGGTTCACAGCCGTCCTCAAACGTCCCTGATGTTTCGTCTCGACTTTTCGAGGTCAGTTTTCACGCGTTGCAATCTCAACCCCCTCGCCGCAAACGCAACTTAGGCAAAACTTTTCTGCGGTTTCTACACATACCCGATTCACGGACGACTGGACGGGATCATAGATCCTCCTAGTGATCCAGTTATCCCTTCAAGGTAGTCCTCTTTTCACGATGAGCTACCGTTCCCTTATAAACGATGGCCCAGATACAGACACACCAATTGCTCATCGATATCGCTTTAAAATTCATAGGCTCCCTTTGAAATATGCATGCAGATTCTTCCATTCCCTTTGTCTCGTCGATGAATAATTGTAATGGTAATTTTTTTACGAATACTTTGATGCATGAAATTTATGATTCATATTGGGGAAAGGAATTAAATTTTTAAGGAAACTTTTAGGGGTTGGTCTGTATATTTTACTTTTCTAATAATTTTTATTCCGGTAATTGTACATGTGTTCTTCTTTTTGGAAAATGTAGTAGAAGGAATTATAACTGTAGTTTTAAATAGACTTTCTTGTGATGATATTAATATTAAATTTATAATTAGAATATTTTATTTAGGTTGAAGCTTTATTATTTTCTTCTTAGTTCTCTTTTAATTTTTCATTTCTTCTTTCTTTTTTATTCTTAATATAATAAATGAGCCAGTAAAGAGAATTGTAAAAATTTTTAAGTTTCAATAGTTTTTTAAAATTAAAAATTTTAAAGTACTTACTTTATTTTGTAATTCAATTTTTATTTTTGGTTCAAAATGTGATAGAAATAGGAAATAGTAACTATAGCATTAAATAATGTGTTTGTATAGTAAAAGCAAACTTTTACCTCAAGTTGTACTTAAAAATTTGTAGTATTAAATTTGTTAATAAATAATACAAATTTATTTGATACAATGAAAATATGTTTTGCATTCACAAAATTTATTTAGTGTTAAAAACAAAGAATGAATGAAGTAATAAGTAACACATACAAGCAATAGAAGGTATGTTTTTAGAATATGCTGTGATGGTAACGTAGTTCAACGTTTAATCCAAATGACTGTATGACAATTCACGTTATAGAAACAATTAAATTAACGCATTGATCTCATTAAATTAATTAACGTCAATTTAGATTCCCTGTTCACAATGTAATATAATATAATTCAGTCGGCAACTTCAAGAGACAGTTGCGCAAACTTTTACATAAACTGGGCCCTCTAACATGTGGGCGGACCGCGATTAGATCATGTTTAATTAAAATTCATCGATAATATTCACATCCTCAACCAGAAAGTACGAACAATATTTTTAATTTGTTTTATAGTGAACGGACCAAGGTACACATTGTACAATTCAAAATACTACATTACACGAAATTTGAAATTTATTAACATAATCTTTCAGCATTTTATGCGTGAAATCCTTCGTTATTTTTTGATCGAAATAAAAATATAATAAAATAGAGAAACTCGTGTAACCTAGTAAAAAGTGAATAAAAACTTGTGCACTTATTTATATTAATTTAGCATTCAAGATTTTCAAAAATTTATTTTAACAGATAGGAAATAATTTGTATTGTTATTGTAATTTGATTATTTTGTTATATTTAATTTAATCAATTAAATAATTTTTCTCGACTTTTCTTGACTTTATGCAAATTAAAGTAGTCAAATCCGACGTAACTTCAATTGTGTTTTGCAAATTATTTTTCAATATTTTAAATTACAATTATCAGCTCAATTCTATATTAATATGTTCACGTGCTCGTGCTGAGGAACATAGGCTCAGTCGGAACAAGTTACAATTCTCGACCTTTCCAAAAGCGACGAATCACGATGCTCGAGTTCGTTCAGGAGGAACGAATCCACGTTCCCCAGTTAGTTTCTTCTCACGTGTTTCGTACACCGGTATGACCTATGTTGCAAGTACCACGGTCCGAAGATAGTTTGTAACTAAAAGTTAATCCTATTTGAATGAGATTTGCAGTTACTCTTCTGTGTATTATCCACTATATGATTACAAGAAAATTGTTTGGTTGCAATGAAGAGAAGAATTTCGAAGTTGAAGAAAGATTGATCTATCCATTTCCTATTGTTCAAGCTTATTATTGACCTTAATTTTAAATTTTTATTTTGTGTCGTAGTTGCTGAATAATTAATTCGCATTTTTTGAACGACGAAGTAATATTTTTATTTCATATTTCGCTATTTTTATGTTTAATATTATATTATATTTATTAACAGAATTTGAATTTATGGAGTAAAATTATTATCTATTAATAGAAGTCGAAAATTAAAAAACAAGGAGTAAATTATCAAATAAATTGGAATTAAATTATTTCCAAAATAAATAGAATGTTTTCTTATCGTTTACTTGATGTCTAATAATATATTTGTCTCTTGTTTATTTTATAAATAAACAAAATAGAGTGCACAATAATTTCATTATACAGGAAAAATTAAATAAAAATATATTTCGTTGAAAAGTAATTGGTACATAAAGATTAGAAAATAAATTATGTAGGTACATCAGAATTATACATATATTATAAATTATGAATAAACTAAAATTAAGAAAATTATAATAAAATGAATTGAATTAGAAATTTCTTAATACCAACTTTGATTGCGTGATATTCAACAAATAATAGGAAAGTTTCGTTGTTACTTGAGAAGTCGCTAACACCAGAAAAAGTACACATTCTCGTTGATCAATCAACTAAACCCTTTTTTGTATTTTAATGGTGAAACTTTTTGCAGCGACCACTTCTTTTCGCGTGAAATCACGCGTGCAGAAACCGCAATCGCACGAGACAATCGTTACGATAATATCTGACAGAAACCCTGAAACTTTTCCAGACAAAGCAATAATTCTTTTTCACCGTGTTTCTACGATTTTTGCTTCAATCAAAATTATGCATCTTCGAATTTTGTCATCATCCTCTTGATCATCATTTCATCTTTCGTTTTTAATTAATTTTATTATTCCCTAGATTAGGAAATGTGAGATTGCAAACACAAATTAACGAAGAAATAATTTACTTGTATAAACCAAAATTTTTGCTATTTTTATTACAGGAATTCGTTAATTATTTAATTCTAATTTATAATACTTCTTCTCTTATGGATTTACTTATATATTTTTATTAATATCAGTATTAATGAAACTTTTATGACTTATTGATCGATAATAATAATAAATGTTTCAGATAATTTTTATATTTTATGATCTGCAAGAACTTCAATTATAGATTTTTATAGTGCATTTTTCTTTATACCATTATAATTAATATTTCAGTAATTACAATAGGAAATAGCTTGTTTAGTTGCCTCAGTATTTAATTTTATAACAAAGAATATTAACCAAATCAAATGAAAAATAATAATAAGTATTCAAAAATGAAATAATATTTTTATAAATATCCAAGTATTGAATTATTTATTTAATCATGTTTACATTTATTTATTTTTTTAAAAGAAATACAAATTCTAACGGAAAATGAACAGGTTTGTTATTTTATTATATATAACAAGTTTACTAGGCATTATATACCTGGATATTTCAATGTTTATACATAAAAAGTTAATGTTATATGGCCATGAAGAAGTATTCTCGCTAACCCGATCGAGATGAGGACATCTTTCTAATTCTTGGATTACGTTAACCGCAATGCATAGCGAAATCGAATGTAGGTTAACTCGCGGTTTCTGACAACTAAGTAATACACCTTGGTAATTTGTTCAGTGCATTGATTTGGTGGATTCTTGGTCGAGAATTGAGCATTAACCTATTTAATAAAAATTCATTAAATAACTCTTGCATTTCAGTCACCTCATAAATTACATTCGAGTAAGAGATAAATATTTCTTATAAAATTTACAAAATTTTATTAACAAATATAAACAATGAATATAAATTTTATTTATAATGTACGATAAATGTAAGAGTTTATTAATAAATTATTTTTTTATACCAAATATATTGTTATGTACTATATACTTTATACTAAATTAATAATTCTAGATATAAAAACAATGTCATTTATACTGTGATAGACTAAACAAAATATATTTTCGAAAATAAATAAGTGATACAAAAGTTTTAGGTATAGAAACAGGGGAGACATCTATTGTTTGGTGTAAAATATTCAAAATTGAGTTATTTGACTAGAAATTTACAAACATTTACTTTTGTTACTAAATGTTTCATCCTGATTTAAAAAATCTAGAACCATTAAACTAAAAATGCTAAAATTTTTTAATTATGGTTATTGATATATATATTTACTTGTACCCCATTTTTCCAAAGAGAACTAGAATTAATAACCCACAAAAATTAATTTGAAAAGGAAACAGTCCTAAAATTTTTGAAAGTTTGGGAATGGAAACACGTTCTTCTTAAATTTTCCTTCTCTAAGATATTTTATATCCTAGAGAAATATTGTATAAAGTCAATAGGAAATAATTTTAATTATCTCTAATATTACGTTGAAAATTAATTATTCTATAGAAAGAGGTATTAACAAAGTTAGGAAATGAGGGAAATAAAAAATGACAATTTAAAAAAAAGGAGGGGAAACAATTTATTGACCTAAATTATGTACAAATACGTCGAGAACTTTTTGAGGTTAGTATGCTCCGACTAATTGCTGCGATTGGTAGTTCTGGGGTTGGAAAGCAGGCTTGCCAAACGCAGGTTGAGCTGCAGGATAAGAGGGCGCTGCGCCAGGAAATACTCGCGCCGCGGCAGAATTGTATTGACCAGCGTTGTATGGGGCTGGTGCAGCAGCTGGGCCAGCATAAGCTGAAATAAATTAATATCTCCCTTAAATATTTCTGAAAATTTTTAAAAATTTATTTATTCTTTCTTGTTGGAATTTTCGTTCCTTAAAAACACAAATAAAAACTTTATTTGTTTCTTCATTATTTATAACAATAATTTATGCAAATATTTTCTGACTCTATTACATTTTCGAATAAAATTGCTTACATGTCAAAATAATTTCTAAAGTAGAAGTATGAAATCTCATGTTCTAATATAATAGCAAAATGGACATGCAAAATTTCGTTATAAAAAAATATTTTTTTAAATTTCGTATTTTAATATGGAATCAGAAATAGTTCAAAAGTATCAAAGAAACTTAAATTGTATATTATACAGCACGCAGAAAGGCACTTTGATATTAACAAAGATTCCATTATGTTTGATTTGTGCAGGAAACCAAACTTTGGCATAAATATGATCATCGATTAGAAAAAGATCAAATTTAAATTAAAAAATGTAATTATATAAATTCTTGAGGAAAGTTGTAAAACTATTTTCGTTATAACTGTATTAATATTGGCTGTTTCTATTAATTAAAGTAACATTGCGAATATGGTATACCTAAATGACTATTAAAATTTTATTATATTAAAAGCAGGATTGAAGCTTGACTGTTATCTTTATTATACTCCATATATTCACCAGTTAATATCCAATTAAAAGGACACAAATATAATGATCAGATGAAGGTTAAAAAAATCGATCAACGAGACACATGTCAAGGAAGTTTAAAATTCCTTCTTGTAATTTATTCGTACGACTAATTCAATCACTCTTGATTTGCTTTTGGGAGCGGCAATCGAATGAATCGAAGCAAGAGGAACCGGTTCCAATCGAGCATTTCCTCCTCGTTATTAATGAAACAACTGTCCATTTAAAGAGATCAAGATAAAAGGGGTTGCTCAATTAAGAACAGCTTTTCTTTCGACTTCACGCAAATAAAAGACCAGCCTACATAAAAACTATTAGTAAATACGGTGGAATTTATTTCGTATCTAAAAGAAAAATAAAATGCATCCAAATTATTATGAAATGAAATCGAAATTTCATTATGAAGAAACTTTGAATTTTAATTAATTTTCTAATAACGTTAATGTTATGTAAATTATTTTTAATATTTTAAAGGTATATGATTTAAATTTCCATTTAGTAAAATTGTTATTTAATGTAATTCAATATTGATAATATTAATATAAATTTTATTTAATATTCTGTTCATTTAATTTCAATTTAATGAATTCAACGAATTTGAAATTCAGCTTCATTTTCTTATTTATCCTTTCTTTTCTCTGAAGTAATGAAGAATATTATACCTGATTGCGAGACAACATCTGATCTTCGAAGACAGGCGTTTATGCAAAGTATAAGTTACGAATAACTAGAGTGAAACTCGTTCGTGACCTACGACGTTGTTTGATATTCCTGAGAAGAAATGGCCGGGTCACGATTATATTCGTAACGATTAGTGGCCATACAGGCCGTTCTCACAGGAACAATCGAACGATTAAGTTGTTGAGCAACAACTCGACTCTTACGTTGCATCAGGGTGTTACGAATGTATTTATAGCAATAGCTAGGGTTCAATCGTTCTGTTTCCTATAGAAATTCTTCGACACATGCAATAAATGTTATAATGCGACATAAATGACAAGAGTACGATAGCAACTGTTTGTAAGACTTTTTACAAGTAAAACAGAATCAGAAATATTGTCAATGTTAATTTGAAAGCGTTCAGCGAATATTAAAAATTATTTCGAATTTTGGTGAAATTTTTATTTAATTTTAAATTATAAATATTTTAAAAGTTGTGTACTTAGTAATTGAAATAATTCTATCAATTTCAGAACTCATTTAATTAGTTGAATATAAGTTAATAAATATTTATAGAAAGTTAATACAAATTTTAATTGATTAACTATACCTATATATGTATAATTAAATAAATGAATTTAAGTTTATTTAATTGGAAGTGTATCGTGAAAAAGGTTTTTCTATTTTAAAATATATTTTTCATGTTTCAGTTTTTGTGTGAAATAATTTTTAATAGATATCACTGAAATAATTATGATGACTATGATGTTAAGAGTTATACGCTCTTGTTAAAAGCTCAATTTATTTATTTCAATTTTATTATAAATATTTATTATTCAAAATTATATACTAAGAATAGTTGAATGATTGTAAGAAATAATCATTACATGTTTAATTTATATGTAAATAGAGTATGTACAAAATTTTTCAAGAAGTTTATTGAAATGTAAGATTTTAATTATCTGTCATTTATTGACATACATTATAATTATTAGTAATCGTTGATAAGAATAAAATTAATATCGTCAATTGACTCAAATCTTTGAAAGTCAGATAAATTTTTATGTTCGATGTAACAATATTTTGCTCATGCTTCTTAATAAACTTAACATTAAGTGTATAGTAACAAACTTTCTAGTTAGTGAAACAATGTGCTCCAGTTATTTTTTCCCATTGATGAATTCCTATTTAATTTTGTACTTAATAAAGCAATTATCACCACTTCTATTCAAGCATGTCCAACATTATATGACTACCCTAAATTCTCGTGTCATTCTCATGACAACTATTTTACGTAACGCTCTGCTTTACATAATTGGTAAAAACTGTCTACAAGTTTTGTATGTTCAATGTATACAGAATAATTATTTTTAGCTTAGATATTGCGATAAAAGGACCGTGCATAATACCTGTATCAAAATAAAAATTGAGATAGTTGTTTTATCATAACAAGAAAATTAATATCTTCTAGTGAACAAAAAGAAATGTATAATGCTTCAGATGTTTAAAAGATTAATAAATAACAATTCTTTAAAATTGCTAAGAAAAACAACCCCTAAACTATTTTATGTTTTTCTAAATCATGTTCATTTTATAAAAATTTTATAACATTCATTTTCTTTAGATCATTAACAAATTTAATGGAGAACCACAAATTTTAAAGAAATAAATTCTCCAATAAAATAATTAATTTCCAATTTCAAATTCAGTGACAATAAAATAAGCATTCTTAAATATACGTAATTAAAAATTAATATTACATATAAAAAGTGAGAAAATTACAAATATTCAATAAAGCAATTAAAAGAGAGAGAGAGAGATTAATATTCTCCAATATAAAATTAAAAACATTTGATATCTTTTAATCAAGAAAAATCTTTTGATCAAGAAAAATAATTAAAAAAATATTTTTTGATACAAAATATCTCAACACTTTTATAGTTTAACAATAAAAAAATTAATATTCTCCAACAGAAAAGAGAAATTCAATACTTCAAAGTATTGAAGACAATAAAATAAACAATAAAGGAACTTTAAAAAAATTTAAGAAAACGAAAAATTCCCTAGTTTCTAAATTAATATCCTCAAATAAACAAACAAACAAACAAAAAAATATACTAAACTTTTCACTATCACAAATAAAAATTGAAAATTGTCCATGAATTTCGAAAATCAATTTGCATGTCTCAATATCAAGTTCATCCTCAGACAGAATTTCCTTGTGCGAACGTACCTTGGCCTTGGACTTCCGGTTTGAATTCCTGTGCGAACTTATACGCCCTGGCTTCGGCCTCGGCCAGCTCCGCCAACCTAGCGGCTTTAAGAGCGGCCACTTCCGGTGTATCGATTACTGTTCCATCCTCCGCGAGTGGTGCAGGCACGAACGGGGTGGATTTTACGTTGGCAGCATAACTTTGCTGTCCGACAAAGTTCGAATTTCCGGTATACTGCGGTTGATAGGCCACTGGATTCGGTTGGTTGTACGTCGATGCTGGAACTGGAATTTTCATTGCTGTATTCGAAAAAAATCGACATTAAAGGTTTGTTATTATGAAAGTGTCTGAAAAAATTTTCGAAACAAAGTGTTCAATTTTTAGTTTGTACTGTGGATTGTTGGAATTGGATTGAGAGTGGTGGAAATGGTTAATTGGTGATATTTGATATCATTGGTTTTCTGGATATTATTGAGTACTTACTATAGTAATGGTATTAGCTATAAGTATATTATTGAGTGTACTTACTATAGTAATGGTATTAGTTATAAATTCTTTTGAACACAGTGTGGATTTAATTTATTTCTGTTCCAGAACATTCGCAAATTTTTAAATCAAATTATTAACATATTACATAAAACTACCCCTACTTCTAAATTCAAAGAGACTCACTCTAAATTTATTATTAATATCCAAAGATAAAATAATTTATATTCTCAGTGGATACAAATTTTGAAAATATGAATCTCCCTGATTATTAAAATCGAAACTACCATGTATATTGTGTCCTTTTATTTTTAAAAAAGTAAGTCTCTAAAAATTTACACTGAAAACCCCATACTTGGTAAATATATTCTACCAAATCACGAAATCTTCAAATCTCTAATTTCACACTACCTTCTTCAAAGGTTTCATCTTTAATAAAATTATTTAACTCATTACATATTTCGAAATCTATTTCTAAAAAATTTAATAAAAAGTTTTAGAAATAAGGTCCTGAAGCAAATATGCAACGAAGATTTTTATTTTACCTGGAGCAGATTGGTAGATAGGTGCAGGAGACTGATAACTCTGTGGTCTGAGAAAATTGGGAGAGGTGGGTTGCACAGAGGGGAAGTTGTAGGCCTGGGCCGGCACCTGAGGGTTGAATTCGGCTGATTGGGGTTGATTCTTGGCTTCCTCGGCAGCTCTGGCTGCAGCCCTGGCGAATTCTGCGAAGTGGGCGGCCTTCGCTTGGGCCACTTCCGGTGTGTCGATCACGTTCCCGTCCTGGCCAACCGGGGCAGGGGGTGCGAACCTCTGTGCTGCAGGTTGCGGGTGCACTTGGGGTTCATTGAATGATGGTGGGCCGAGGAAACCCGCTCTGCAGCTCACTACCATGACGACTAATACGATCTAAAATAAAATCGCAGTTTTATGCGTGCTTAAAAAGAAGGGTAGATTAGAAAATTATAGAATTAAAGGCTGGGTTTGGGGTAGGTTAATTTTAATGAAAATTATTTGCGCGAATTAAGTATTTTTATAAAGAATTACAATTTCCTTAATAAAATATATGTAAATTTAATGTAAATTTAAACATTGACAATTTTTAATTGGGACTTAAGATAGTATTTTTGGGATTATAGTTGTTAATATTATTAGACAAGTTAATAGTTACTTTGGAAATTAATGTTAAATTTAAGTTTGAATTTTTATGAAATGAATAATGTTTATGTAATATGTTAATAGGTAAAATTGTTTAATTATTATAAAAGTTTTTCCAGAAGAAATAATATCTTTAACTTAATTAAAAACCTATTAAAAATTTTGGTATATTAAGTTAATAGACTACAATGAAAAAACAATTGTTACTTTGAAGAGTCTTATTGTAGTTCATTATTCATCTGTTAAGAAGTTTCTAACTATTGAACTGTATATATTTTTATTAATTTTAATAAACTTTGAGATACAATTTCCCATTCAAACTAAAAAACTTATGCTAAAAATTCTTCTAATTCGGTACCCTTGAATCCCAAGGAAAAATAAAATCCCAATTCACCTATCCACAATTTCTCAATGATAAAAATAATTTCACTTAAAAATCCAACTCTATTATCCAGCTTGATCAATGACAATCTCAATTCCAAAATCGATCAAAACCCTGAAAGTTTTACTATACCAAGACTATACCAAATCAGATCCACTATACATATCATATCAACCAGTTCGCGTGGGCCTCCACTGACCTGATCTACCCTAACCTTTCACTTTCCTTTGTTCGCCACGTCGACCTATCCACGAGTGCAAGCAGGACTCACCAATCCCCTCATGGTCCCTTTCTCTCAATCTCTTTCTCTTTCTTTCTCTATATCTGCTCGATCCTCTGGAGCTTGTTTCCCCTTTCCGAAGCGCTGCTGGTGGCCAGTACTCGCTCGTTTCCGCTCCAGCCACGCTACCCGGCCCGGCCCGACGTTTTGTGTTCCTGGAGAACGGCGGTTGGTAGCATTTATAGCAGTGATCATCCGCCCCCTCCCATATGGACCACTTGGCCACGACCTGGAGGGAGCCAGGAGGTGATCGGCTAGCCCACGTAGCCTGGGAAGCGCGACAGGAAAAAGGATACTCCCTCCTTTCGGTTGCTTTGTGCAGGACCTTGGCATTTCAACGGGGTCCATGCATTCCTGGACCGGAAGGATGGGACTGGGGAGACTATGATCGGCCCTGGGCAGAAGCTTCGACTTGTCTCTGGGCCAGGAAGCGCACAGGGAGCGTGGGTCGTGTTAGAAGTGCAATTAGGCAACGAGGAATCGTGGAACTGAGGGATTGTGCAATTGCAAAAATTCGCAATTGTCAGTTCGAACTGGACTGGAATTGACTTGGATCGGAGTTGATTTGGATCGAGTGGGCTGAGATTTGCGTGGGTCGGTATTAAAAGGGACATGAACGAGAATTATTATATTAGAATTGGTATGAGTATGGTTTGGGATAAGTTTGGATTTGGTTGGAGAAATTGGAGTAGGCTGATGAGTGAGTTCAATTCGCATGATTTGAACGTAAGTTGTTTTGAACAGGATGCAATAAAAATTAGATTAGGATTGTAGGAAAAATAGATTGGGCGAAGATTGAATTAGAAATGTGCACGTGATAGATGATATTACATACATAATGTGTGTAATCTCTCCATTGATTGGAAATATTAGAATAGGATTAGTACGAACTGCAATTGCATTGGGATTATTGGGTTAATATTGAAATTAATTCAGATAAAGATGGAGTTATTTAGAATGATATTGCCATTGTCATGGAACTTTTATTCCATAACTAATAACGACAAACAGCTAAAGTTGGTCCATACAGATATAGATCAACGTTGAGGGTAGATTAAATAGAAATTATGTTTGAATTGAGTTAAAATTAACTTACATCGGCGTTAGATTAAATTAAATTCAATAAATTCGATTAAATAACCGAGGAATTAAATTAGAACATAATCATTTGAGAATTATAATGAAATAAAGTTTATGAATTAACTTATGGTTATGGTTATAAATGCTGTTGGAACATTGCATAGTCAAGTATGATTATTATAGTCCAGAAGTGGGTTACAGTGTTGAGTTTGAAAGAAATTGGATTGGATGGTCGTTGGAAAAGTTACAGCATTTTGTAGGTGGGGTAACGTGCAGCATGCAGACACGAGATTAATAATTTCATGCAGAGATGGGCGTGGGATTCGAACACTATGGAATTATGTGTTTGAAGATCACTAGGGTTACTTACTCGTTCAAGTGGTAGCCTATGTAGATGTAGAGGAAAGAATGCGTGTATAATTGGCAAGGAGAAGGTTGTTGGAATTATTAAATTTGTAACATCATAAAATAATAAAATTATAGATTTTTAAATTCTAAAAGACACTAGGGAATTATAGAAAATTTAAATATCAAAATCATAAATTAATTTAATCGTCATATATTGAATTTTATTTTATTTTATTGATCCTAAAATTTATAAATTGCAAAATTATGGAGTAATAGAAATATTAAATTATGAAAAGCTCTATAATTACAAGATTTTCAAGTTGTAAAAATTATTTCTATGTAAAATGAGATGAAATTATTTTTAGTTTTGTATATAGTGATAGAATAATATTTACCAAATTTTGTACCGTTATTGTTTATCTGTTAAGATAAATACTTGCGACATCGTCTAATTTGTGAGCAAAATGCAATGAGAAGGCAGTCCCAACTGCATTTCTGGTAATCAGAAACCTGAGAAACCATGTGAGACTCGTACATCACGTGAGAAGTAGGTTATATCGTGACAGAGGAAGTTACATCCGAGACACTTTTCTCAGTTCGTAATTACATATGAGAAATAATCTTGTTCACGCTGAGACGCTGTTTAATGTTATAATTGCATTTCTACCTTTTCTTTTCAGTTTTCATTTCTCTTCCTAATACATTGCATAAAGTGTTTTCTCATTTAATTATCATTATTAATTCATTGGTTAATAACAATGATGATATCTTTTATTTAATATCGTGTTCATATGTTTAACACAAATATTCCGAATTTTAATATTATAATATTATAAGTTTAAAAATTATTATTTGCAATATTATAACTATTTTTAGTTTGACTAATATCGTATATGTCACGAATTTTAAAGATCTTTTACTGAAGCTTTCTGACTAAAATTTTAATTAAAATATTTTTACTTCATATAATACTTAAAAATTGTTAGTAGTGTAAATATAATATTTATATATAAACAGCATACAGTTTTTTAGTGATTAAAGATTAGCACAAATATTAACATAACATTAATTAATTTATATTAACATAACATAATATAACATTAATATAACATCTTTTGATAAATAAGCTTAATACTTATAGAAATATATTTTTCAGAAATTAAATAAAAAAACTAACGTAAAATTTAGAACTCAACAAGATATCGTAAAATATTTAATTATTGTACAAACATTAATTATTAAAATTTTCCTTATTAATTTCTATTCTATTTTTGAATTTATCATTTTTTAAACCCACTAGTTCTTCAATTACTTTACATAAAATAAATTATTTTAATACAAAAATTGTATCATCACGTTGTTCACGAATTAAAAAGAGAAGTCTCACGAATTTAGAATTTTTTCAGTTATACAATTATGTAGAAAATTAAAGTACTAGATTAATGTTAAAGAATAAGTTTAAATATAATTGTGTAATTAATATTGTACAATCGATCACGTAATTTATGATTGATGCTATTCTAATATTTATACCATTTCAGACGGTTCCCAAGTAAATTATATAAATTCATAAAATCCTTGTAGGCAATATAATTTTTTACGTCCTTATGCCTTAAGACTTAAGACTTAAGAAGACCATGAAGGTATCACTTATTTTATATGAAATACAGCTTTCCGAGATTTACTCCCTTTTATTTTATTTCTCCTTTCGCCCAGCATTTCGTTGTCCTTTAAACAAAGCCGCGTATGCAAGTGTTAAACGACTTACCAACCCTGAACGAACGAAGGACTCGAGGCCGAAGGACAGTCTGCAGCAAGAATGCATTCCTTCAATATTTTTGCACCGCTCGAAGTATGGTTATAGTGTACGAACTCCGATCGCTCGATCAAAGAAGTCGATTTGTATGAAAAAATTCGTGTCACGTGTAAGATAGCAGTTGTAATAAATTAACGAGCATTAACGAGGTCATTATCTGATTTCTTACTAATAGCGATTTATGGCATCACGATATTTTGGACGTAGTAAATAAGAGAGGAAATATCATAATTTTTAAAAATATTAGAAATTGTTTAAGTTTTGAAAGTTTTAAATGATTAATAAGAAATTTGAGTATGTATCAATTATTTCAATTATTTTTATGGTTAGGAATATTATGAATTCAATTTAATTTATATTTAACGGAAGTTTACAAGATTATAATTAATAAGATTTGTGATCTAATATTCCTTATTATTTATTTTTCACTAATTTTTATGTATCTTTATATTTTACTAATCGCATGAAGTGTAATAACATTGGGAAATATAGTGTCTCTATTCAATAACTATAGTAAAACATAATAATTTTAGTATGTTCTTACATTGTATAATTCATTTTTGAATATTTTGTATCGAATTTTAAATAAATAAAAAGGCTATAAATATCTTCATACAATGCAACAAAAAAGTAACAATGCCAAAATAAGTAACAGCTTAATGGGAATAACCACATAGCATAGCAATTAAATCGCCAGTTTGTTCATTCATCATCTCAATCACAGTTTATTTAAAAACATGTCAAAG